TCCGCAATCAGCTACATATATATCAAAATTCACATCAATAAAGATTCCAATTGGACTATTAAGTTCATGTGGACTCAAATTTGGATAGCCTGTACTAATTGCATCAACTGATGTTATTACAGTACTATTTAACCATCTTTTAACACTTTTATGAGCAGAATATAATAAACAATATAATGTATTATTAATATCAATAAATATACCCCAACATCCTGTACTAATATTCATAACGTTAACAAATGTATTTGTACTTTTTATCCATTTATCAACTTGATGATTTGTTCCACCATTATCAATATAAGTATCACCATAATCTGTAACAAACAGAGCATATGAAATTGATAAACCACCAGAAATAACTTGTGAGGGATATAAACTATTATTGAGCCATACGACGGTTTGATTATTTTGATAACTAGGAACGTAAACTGTATTGTTTTTAGTTACAAAAACAGAACGTGGAGGAGCACCAATTGTTGTTACATTAGCAAAAGTGATACTATTTTTATCCCATGTTGTTGTTGGACAAAACTTTGGTTGATTATATGGAAGAGCTACAATGCAAAAATAAATCTTATTTTTAAAGATATAAGTAAATTCTATAAAGATAGAAGAAAACGTATACTTACGTAACGCTCTAGGAATTAATATAAATATAATGAGACAGAATAAAAGATCATATTTCAGTACCATCACAGCCATGTATTCTATCGATATCTTTGTTGTAGAATTGCTTGCTGCGCTATGAAATGAAATAGACTTTCTTTTTTTTTCTTTTATATGTTCCTAGTTGTTTTTCTCGATTAATCATTTATTTTCAAATTTTTGTTAAATTTATTCAGTAAAATATCTTAAAAAAATAATTGAACAACAAATAAAAAAACTGATACGGAAATAAAAAGTCAACAAAAACGCGATCGCAGTGTTTATTCTAGATAATTTTTTTATTTAGTTTTCATAATTGAATTTTTAGTAAAATCATGTTGTTCTAGCAAACTTTATTCTTTTGTTTTTCTCTTAATACTTATATTCACACAGTGAAGAAGACAACAATTCTATAACTTTTTTTCGTTCTTTTGTTTCTTCTCATCTGTTTTCAATTCTTTTAATTAGAAAAATACGACTATTTTTCTCTTCTTCACTTTTCCACGTTAGATATACATCCGTATGCAGTCGAGATCCTTTCTCTTTTATTTTTGTTTCGTATCTATACACTCAAAATATCTACGACAGTATTGCGATATCCGTTATCTCAGGTTCTCCTTTTTCTATTTTGTATCTTCTATTTTTTTCTGCTGCCTTTGTCGTATGAAGATGTGTTTTTTTGTAAGCAAACAAAAGAAAGAATAATTTCATTATCACTACCATTTTTTCTAACAAAAATTATCATATTTTCTACCATTCAAATCTTCAATAAACTTCTTAGATAATTATTATTCGACAACTCCTATAAGAATATAAAATAATTTTTGCCTGTCGTTAGATTTTATCCTTTGATATAGCTTCTCATTATTTTCAGATATTAAATATTCAACAGTTTTTTTTGTATAATATTTGGTGGAACTTTTCGAACGAGTTTTACATTTGTATTCTTTCTCAACAACTACAGAGATGGGACGAACTCCAATCGATGAGCTTGTACATATTATTGATTCAAAAGCGAAATATATCACGAAGCTACCGCGACGTATAGATCCATCTATGACTGAAGCAGTAATGAAATGGAAATCGTTGGTCACAAAGGCTTGTGTATCACTTGTTTTAAAACTAGCACCAGATTCAAGTGATACTACAGCCGAGCCACCAAGTAGTGATTATATGATTGATCTACGTGCCGGTATTAACATTTTACCACAACGGTTCGATTCACTACGAAAACCGATTGGTGAAGAAATTAAATTCTTTCGAACTCAACACGAAGAGAAAATCAAACAGAAGCAAATCCAATGCTACAAGATGAACGAAAAAGGAGAACAGTTAGGGGTGTCACTTTAACTTTAACTTTATTAGTTAAAGTGCTTAAAGTTTAAAGTTAGAACTTTAACTTTAACTGTTAAAGTTAAAGTGTTTTACTTTAACTTTAAGTTTAAAGTTAAAGTATAATATACTTTATAACTTTACTTTAAAAATCAAAGTTAAAGTTAATATTCAAAAACATCATTTTTGACTACCATCATTTAGCCACTGAATATGACTCGCGTGACTA